GAAGTTAAGGTAGATATTCTTGTCAACAATGTGGCTAAGACAGTTTACTGGCGCCTTTTCTCAAGCCCTAGCCTCTTTTTTTTTCCACAAAGAAAAGCTAATTTCCCTTGAGGTAGTATTATTGATTCAGGTGTGGTTTTGATGCAGGAATAATGTGAATGTAATGAGCATCAATTGCTTGATGTTATTTGTGCATCAGTATTAAGGAAGATAAATCCATCCTAGGCACTTTTGAATTATAATTTGATAAATTAGAAAGCTAGTATTAGTCCATTAAGGAACACATCAGATTGTTATTCTGTGGAATGGTCTATAACTGTAGAGTTGTTAAACTAAATTAAAGCTAATGATATTTAATTACATATGTTTAAATCAAATTAAAATTAAATCAAATCTTTACTATGGACACAGACCTGTACACTAAGCAACCATTTAAGGCCTTTAAAGTATCAATTCAAACCATAGAAGAAAGCAAAGTAGAAGTTTTTAATTTATATATGTACGCAATTGTCACCATTTTAGAGAATGGCTCTAGCAGTTACCTTGAAATTCCAGCTTTATTAAAACATAAATAGAAGCAGTGTGACAAGGTATAATATATAGAACAGTTTTGAAGAAACATTTATCCCCATGGTAAATAATAGGGGCAAAAGGTCAGCTGTTTGTCTGTGGTTGTTTAATGGCAGTAGTTTGACAGCAAATTAAACGTCACATAAAGTTGGCAAATGATACAACAAATCAATATATAGTGATAAGAGCAGATACAATTATTTTGGTACCCAACACCGTTAGGTGCACAAAACTTGATTTAAGACAACAGTTTACTTTCATAGAGCACAGACTTTCATACAAAATGATTTGAGTTTTCAAAAGACCCCACAAAGTAATTGAGCAGATAGGCAGTAATTAGAACAATTCTGAGTAGATTGTATTTTCACGAGACAGCTGGTGTCTCTTCTTAAAAGCTAAGGTAGAATAAACTATCCATTATTAAAATTTACCAGCAAGTATCAAGCCAAACTTTTTTTAAAGTTTCAGATAAATAATTGGTTGATTTAGTTTTACATATATTTATCATGTACATAGCTGCTCTTTAAGTGCAACAATTCTTTGTTCCCTACAGATGTTCCAACTAGATACTTCAAAATGTTTTTTCATCACTAGCAAATAAGAACCAAACTCTTGAAAAGTGCTATAATTGAAATACCCTCCCAAACCAATGTTTATATTTTGTATGTATTAATTAATTGGATTATGTTTTGTTTTGCAATAAAATTACCTAGTGAAATACCTGAAGGAAGATTTTTTTAAAAAAATGTAATCCTAAATATTTTCTCAGTTCAATTTTTGGATTTTGGAAAATGCATGTAGCCTGCAATTCTTCTAAACATATTGCATATTCCAAAACTTGTATTTCTGAAAAAAATCAGTATGCTCAAGATTACATCACAAAATGGATTTAAGGACATTATTTTGATAAATAAAAGATGTAGGAGAAGCAAATTACAAAATGCAAATACCTAGAAACACATATTAGAATCTGTTTGTTAATTTTGTCAGAGAATCTTTAAATGTATTGTTGAAAATATTCATTTTTTAATTTTCTAATCTGAATTGTTTTTAATGTCCTATTTCTAATTAGTTTCATAAATTTATATAACTACCTAATTCAACAACAGGGTTGATAAAACAGAGTTGGTAAAACAGAAAAAAATACATATACAAAAAATACACAGTAGCTGAGAAAACCAACAATTATTTGTGTCGCCAGGAGACAGATCCCCTCACCCTAAATCATTGCATGACTTCACCCAGCAGCTTCTTATAAATAGTTAAATAGGAGGGGGAGGAGAAAGAACTGAGCCCTGTAGCATTCCACAAATTGTGGCTGTGTGCTGGACTTTTCCTCTGCAACTTGAACCCACCCCCAAATGAAGAAGACCCAACACATCAGAGGGCCACCCACCCCCAACCCTTGGAGCAAGTCCTGGAAGATACCTTGATTGATAATATTGAAGGTGGCTGAAAAAGTCAAGGGCAAAGATCAAGACACTATTCTCTTCCTGCTCCCAGCAGATGCCATCCAAGAGTGTGATCAATTTTAAAATCCCAAACATATGGTCCAGAGACCATGGACAGAATGCTCTCTTCCCTGGGGAGTGGTCAATTCAGTGATAAAAACACATATATTTTTGGTTCCTGCCTTTTGAAGAGCTTGCTGTTAACAACCTACTCAAAGCAAATTTCCTGTTTGGATTAAAATGTTAAAACAGGAATTCAGTTCCTAATTACCATACTGAAATTTCTGTTAAAATTTGTTCTATTTCTTTTTTTTTAAAAAAAAACTTTTTTTAAAAAAATCAAATGAGTCTTTAAAAGCAAAATTGTTCCTTATTTTCAAATGAGGGCTTTTTATAGACTATTTTGCACACATTACAGTAAAGTTTCCATTTGACAGAAAGAAGTTGAGCTTCAGAAATATCTCTAAGCTAATTTTCAAAGGTACAGAAAATCTACCAGCCTGCTCTTCTTTTATTTTTGTCTTTGCTTTTCAAATGAAGGTTCATTAGAAAGAATTGCTCATGTGACATATGTTAAGTGCCCTGTGCTGCAATATCTGCAGTAAATACCATAAAAGGGAAACTTAAGTGGAATTCTATGCATTTCAGAACTATTTCCCCCTGAATATAGTGCAATTTATTCTCATATAAGCATGTATTGGATTATAATTCCACAGGCATAGTGATTTTGAAAATCAAGGCTTTATGAAATTTTTCTCAAATGTTGAATGTCTACCTTTCCCATAAATTATCAAATAGAATATTTTTTTAAGATAATATCTCCCTTTATCTTTCTTCATGGAACCTCTAGCAGACATTTCATAGACCCTTCACGTTCAACAGTTGGTTAAAATAGAGAAGTAAATATTGTTACAGTATGTGCTATAATGGTGATATGATTTGACTAACTTATTGAACATTCCATAGATCTGTGATGAAAGATGTGGTGATTTAAATCAAAGTTGCTACTGAGGAAATAGTGTCGAAGATATGGTGTCTTTATTTACTAATATATTTTTTATTATTTCAGAAATAAACTTTATCTAAAAGAAATGGTCTTGTATACAAAACAAATGATATTTAGACACAGATAAGATAAAACCAATAGCAATGTAAAGGATTACTTGGCCATCTGACTTGCCATAAGAACACACTGAGCAACAGAAATCCTTAACAAAGGTGTAGTGCATCTGTAGAATATTATGCCAGAAGGAAATCTTTTCTACTAGACACCCCGGAATCAGGCTGCAAAAACCTGTATGCCAACAAAGAAATGCACAAAACTGTTTTGCTTCCATCTTCTGATCAACTGGATTTTTACACCCCAGATTTTGTAGCTCAAAAGGAGTTTTTATTTAATCAATGGGGTGACAGATGTCAGAGACAGATGATCCAAACGGGGGGGGGGGGGGGGGAGATCCATGTACCATCAATATAGAACTAGATCAGCCTTCTTAATATATTGTTGCATAACATTTTACCATCCCAGAACTCGAATAATTAGAGATAGCATAGCCTTCTTTAACCATGCCCTCTAGTTATATTGAAACCCTAACTCCAAATATTCTCATGTAGGCTAGTTAGCATGTATTTTTATAGAAAGATTTATATATTTATTGCTTCCTATTAGTTTATTATATATGCTGTATACACTAAAAGATACACATATATGTCTCTCTCTCTCTCTCTCTCTGTCTCTCTCTCTCTCTCTGTGTGTGTGTGTATCACAAGCCAATTTAACTTTCTTAATCTGAAGGCTAGGAATACTGAATATCTTTACTGAAATTGAGAAAAATGGGTGCAACTATAAACTATTTAACAAAGTTGAACTTAGTTTTCAGTAAGAAATACAAATAACTTATGGCTGCCATCCAGATTGAAATAAAGCCCATAGGTTCAGTAGGATTTATTTCTGAATGAATATATGTGGTGTTTGTGAAAGGAAATGCTTTTAAAGAATTAAGTCCATAGTCTATTTAAACATTCATTATTTATTTTAGACTGTTTATTTTACAGCATTTATAGGCTACACCAATCTGATTGATTCTGGTGGAGTATAGGAGCAAAAACATATATCCTTTGTATTAATCATATTGGACATTCTGCTTTATCTCTTTTACTCTTGGGATGTCTCTTTTAATAATGAGTTTGCCATCTGGAGTTTTTAATAAGGATTTCTATTGAGTGGATTAAAAAAAAGATCTGCCACCTGATTAATTGATGGTATCATTGAAAATCAATATTTTAATCAATTGATGTAGCTAATCAATTAAATATTGTGATGCTAGTGACTTTGTATAAACAATATAGAAATTACTTTGAGAAAAGGACAAGTTGGCATTTGAATAAGCATAAATGACATATTGTTGATCATTACTAATACCAAAAGCTCAATTTTATAATTTTACTAGTACAAATTAGTATCCTGAAGTACATTGAACTGAAAAAAATATATCATTTTTTAAAAACTTGTCAATTAAATAGTTCGCTCTTTGCATGCTTTTTTGTCAGGATTTTTTAATAAAATGTGCCACACTTTTTTCCTAAGATGTTGGACTAATTGCCAGTTGGGTGCTTAAACAGTAGCTTTACCTTTATAATCCCAGTCTAAATTACTAATTAATTTTACTCCCTCTCTCAAACAAAAAAGCACCCATCAGAATGATGCCAAGAAAAGGAAAGTTAGAAAAAGCTATGGCTGGCAGTTGCATTGAAAAATAAACACATTTCCGGTAATATGAAACAAACCGAATCAAAAGGTTTAAAAGGTTTTTAGGCTGTGTTGCCTGATTGCAATTATTTCTTGATACTAACATGTAGATTTTATTTTAAATGTTCTGCAAAAAAGCAGTTTGCTTAGAAGAATAAATGTCTATAGGGAAACCATAAATACATAAAATGCAGGATTTAAAATTCATTTTTCCCCTTCTATATTTACAGGTCAGAAAATCCTTCACCACAGAAGTGAAGTTTTAGAAACCGTTGTGCTGATTAATCCTTCAGATGAAGCAGTCAGCACTGAGGTAAAGTAATTTTAAAAAAGCATACATATGCTGATATACTTCAATCAAAATTACATGCTATGAGGATAAAATAACTTAAAGCAATTAGACCAGAGATACTTATATTTTTATTTACCTATTATATCTGTATTACTTGAAATGAAATAGAATGCATATCTACTGTTAAGTAAGTTCAACTGAGTTTAGTGTGAATTATATTCCGATAAAGTAATAGTATATATTAAGATGGTGGTCTAATTGTGTTATATTTTTGGTTTCATGCTTATCTCTCATTTTTTCATCCGCTCCTAGACGAAAATAAACCCTAAATATAGGAATCAATAAATCTTGGGATCATTTTTCTTGTCATGAGGACGTATCTATGGAAGTCTCTTCCCTTGAATGCGCACCTAAAATCTACCGTTGTTCCATTTCAGGGGAAGGCAAATTCTGGGGTCACACATCATGCTAATCAATCATGTGGTTGCTTTCCTTGGCATTAACAATGAAAAGCCTGGATGACTTTCTAGATGATAGCAAAGAAGTACAAAAACTATTTTTGATTTCCTCTAATGGTCATCCAGATCTTTGCAATCTGGTAGTCCCAATATTGTGCAGACCAAATCGGTTGCTTAGGGTTATTGTGAATAACACCATAGACGCTTATTTTTCCAAAATTCTCAAACTTCTTAATTTTCACTGGATTTGTTATTCTGTTCTTTTAACTTGATTGGATTAGCAATACTGTTTTGATTTTAAATAGGATTCCCCTTTCATTTTCTAATATATGTGGGCCTTTTTTTTTAACAAAACAATCTTCCTCCTTCACTGAAACACAATCATTCCACCTTTTTTTTTATAAATACGGTTTGAGGGTAATCTATAATGACCTTGAGATTATTAATATTATTTTCCCCCTAAAAGGCATGAAGTATAAAAGATGTTCAAAGTGATTATTTGTATCTTCTACTGCAGGTGCGTTTAATGATAACAGATGCTGCACGACATAAACTTCTGGTACTAACTGGGCAGAACTTTGAAAATACAGGCGAACTCATTCTTCAGTCAGGATCTTTTTCATTTCAGAATTTCATTGAGATCTTCACAGACCAAGAGGTTTGTCTCTTAATTATTGCTACTCTGTAACTCATTGGGGCTGAAGTTTTGTTTGTACTTTTGATTGTACAGCAGATTTTGAAGAGGAGTAAAAAAAAAAATCTGAAATAGAGATGTCCATCATGCTATTCATTTTTAAAATACTGTATAGACTGCAGGACAAGGAATAAAAGGTAGTCAACTTCTATTTATTTGTTTACAGTTTTTATATCCATCTCCAACCTGAAGGGTTTTTGGACGATATGCAACAAAGCAAATAGATACTGTAAATCCAGAGTATGCAGCTAATTCTCAGTTAATGAGCACTTGTTGAGCAATTGTTCAAACATATAATAGTGCTGAACTAGTGGTGGTTACAACTGGTTCTAAACAGGGGTGGGATTCTACCAGTTCACACCTATTCGCTAGAACCGGTTGTTAACATTCTAAGCAGTTCGGAGAACCGGTTGTTAGAAGAAATTACCAGCCTAATCCTGTAAGGAAGGCAAGAAGGAAACATTCTGGTGTTGCTGACAGAAACTGCCTCTCCGTTAACCCTTTTTACATTCTTTGCAGGACTAGACTTCCTGTATCTGAAACTTCTCTGGAGTTTTTTTTTTTCTCCTTTGCTGGTACTTTGCTTGTGTGGAGTGACCATTCAAAGTTACAATGGCACTGGAAAAAGTGACTTTTGACCATTTTTCACACGACTGTTGCCACATCCCCACAGTCATGAGAGGCCAGGCGAGGAGATGCGTGCCTCGATGTGAGTGATATTGAGTTGGCCACGCCCACCCAATAACATAACCACCAAGCCATGTCCACCCAGTCACATGACCACCAAGCCATGCCCACCACCTAAGCCATGCCCACAGAACCGGTTGTTGAAAATTTGAATCCCACCCCTGGTTCTAAACTGGCTCTTCTGGCTTTTCCAGGCTCCCTGTGATCACGTGACCGTGATCAGGGCACTTGGCAATCAGCTTGCACATATGATGGTTACAGCATCCCACAATCACATGATTGTGATTTGCAACTTTCCTGCAACTTCACACAAATGAAGTCAATCAGAAAGCCAGCAGGGAAGGTCTCAAGTTGCTCAAGTAAAATTCCCCTGTCTGAAGAACCACCTCCAGTCCTCCTTTGCTTGTGCCATTCCTCGCTGGCCACCTGCACCACCTTGCACACCATCCCCAAGTCGCACTGTGCTTGTGTGGTGTCTCTCCAATGATTCACACATCCTTTCCTGGCCACTTGAACATCCTTCCTCAACCTCATTGAGCTTAGCCCTTTCTCCCTTACTACTTGCATATGTTCTTTCACCCAGCAGCAGCCAACTCAATCCCCACCATGCTTTCACTGTGCCTCCCTGCCACCTGCACACTCACCTCCTTGGCCACTTGTACACTCTCTCTGGCCGCTCATGCACCCTTGTACGCCATCCCCAAGTTTCACACTCACTTTGTATCTTCCCAGACACCCACACTTCTTTGTACATTCTCTCGCACTCTCTCTTTACCTGCCTGTCAGCTTGTGAGCTGCCGTGGGATTTACAACTTCTTGATGGCTTCCCCACTGACTTTGGTGATTGGAATCCAGCAGGAAGTTGCAAGAAGATGCTTGCTTAATGACCTATGATTCCCCACTTAACAATGATAATGGGGACTGCAAGAATTGCCATGGCTGAGCAATGAAGTCACATGACATTGTGCTTTACAACTGCATTGCATAGCAACAGAAATTCTCATGCCAATTGCCTAGTAACTTAAAGATTATTTGTAAGTAACAATACATTCCAATATTAATGTCACTAAACAATCACCTTAATTCAAAGCTTGATGGAATAAATTTGTTTTAGTTGCCTTGCAGAACGCCAAGAAGGAGCGTATTATATGAATCTCAATAAAGTCTTTTGAGATATTCTTATTGGCTGGGCAGAGTCAGCCCTTGAAAAATAATGCCATAGGGCTTTGAAGGGTTAATGAACAGTTTTAATTGGCTAGGAAGTTAATACTGATAGCCTTTCTAGCAAATTCAAAATCAGTGTTGCATGGCAGTGGCGGGGCTGTTCTACCTGTAATCTAGCATCCTTATTCAGGATCACCTACAGTTTCTGGGGCATTTTCAAAGGCTGTCCCACATGGAATGCATTAAATTAATCCACCTATATGTGGATCACAGAACAAGTTACCATCACCAGAGTATCTTGGCACAGGGTGTGTGTCAATTGATGGTCCAGCTGCCTATTGCTTCTACCTACTGTTTAAGTGATAGCTTTAGATCCAAAAGAACCCATAGGTCATGAAGCAATTCCTTTGGGGAGCACATGATCCCATATAAGGTATCATGGTGACTGATGTTCACAGATATATTGATGTTTAGGAACTTGTTCTTGTAGGGATTTAATGTTAAACTTAACAGTCTCCAGACACTTGCTAAGGCTTTATATGATAGCCAAGGTATAAGTAGGAATGACAGTGAATACATGAATATTATCAGCATGATAACATCCTACCCCAAATGAACAGTTTCATAGATATATTAAACAGAGCACCTCACACTGTAGTAAGCATAGGTTTGAAGACTGCTCCCCTACAGATTGCAGCTGCCCTTTGAGGCAAGAGCCAGACACCAAAGCATGGTGCAATCTTACAACCTTTGTTGATGGTCCAGCAAGATGCCATGTTTTATAGTATTGGACATCGTTGATAGACGCCTCATAGACCCAAGAAAGTGAATTTCCACATTCAGTGTCTCAGAAAGGTAACTCTAGGCTGACCAATGTTGTTTCCATCCCAGGGCTTCACCTGAATCCTGCTTAGCAAGAAAATCTTCCCGCCTCCCTCTAATATTCTCTGTTGCTGAAATATATAGCCATTTTAACCATCTTTCTCAAAAACAGAAAGCAATGTATCAGGTGAAAGTTATTAAAAAATGAGGTCACATGAAGGCTTCTCTGCATTATGAGTATATATTCAAATCAGAAACCAAATACTTTATGAATATATATTCAAATCAGAAGCCAAGTTTGTTTCCTAAACAAACCTAGACAAACCTAGAAGCAGGTTTTCTTTTTTAAACCAGATCTTTTACATCTGTATATTCTAGTATATCTGCCTTCTTCATAGATGTAATTACTTTGCTCTTTGAATGTAGATAATGTTACTATTCAAGTCTAAAATAATAAAATTAAATTGGCTCAATCTTTCTAGGAAGTCAGCAAACACAGCTGAGATATTTCCATGGCTAAAACCATGATGGAATATAAATACTTTTGAAATAAAAGAAACTTTTCTTAATATGGAAATGCCTTGGCACTGAGCCTGTATATAATTGCTATTTTTTTTTCCTGGCAGATAACAGTGTATATTAGAGAAAAGAAGACGTTAGACTAGCATAATTACTTTGATTTGTACTAGAACACTGAAATCAATTATGGGGGCCAAAGGCAAAATTCTCAGGAAGCACATCCACTTTCTACTGAATCTCATTTAATTTTGAGGCATAAATATGAAGTGTGTACAATCATATCATATTTCTGCTTGGTTTTTTTCCATTTCAGATTGGAGAATTATTGAGCACTACTCACCCTGCCAACAAAGCCAGCTTAACACTTTTCTGTCCTGAGGAAGGGGACTGGAAGAATTCAAATCTTGACAGACACAACCTTCAAGATTTCATCAACATTAAGCTGAATTCTTCTTCTATTTTGCCTGAAATGGAAGGGCTTTCTGAATTCACAGAGTACTTGTCAGAATCAGTGGAAGTACCATCACCATTTGATATTTTGGAGCCGCCAACATCAGGAGGCTTTTTGAAACTTTCTAAGCCTTGTTGTTACATTTTCCCAGGTGGAAGAGGAGATTCAGCACTGTTTGCTGTGAATGGGTTCAACATGCTTATCAATGGAGGATCAGAGAGAAAATCTTGTTTCTGGAAACTCATCAGACATTTGGATAGAGTAGATTCAATTTTGCTCACTCACATTGGAGATGATAATTTGCCAGGAATTAACAGCATGTTGCAACGGAAAATAGCAGAATTGGAAGAGGAGCAGTCTCAAGGCTCAACTACCAATAGCGACTGGATGAAAAATCTAATTTCACCTGATTTGGGAGTTGTATTTCTTAATGTTCCTGAAAGCCTAGGAAACCCTGATCCTAATTTGCAATTAAAAAGAAGTGTAGAAGAGGCTTGTTTTACATTGCAATACTTAAACAAGCTATCCATGAAACCGGAACCTCTCTTCAGAAATATAGGAAACAATACTGAACCCATTATCCTTTTTCAAAAAATGGGTGTAGGGAAACTGGAAATGTATGTGCTTAACCCAGTCAAAAACAGCAAAGAAATGCAATATTTTATGCAGCAGTGGACAGGTACGAACAAAGATAAAACTGAACTAGTATTACCAAATGGTCAAGAAATAGACATCCCAGTTTCCTACCTAACTTCAATCTCATCATTGATTGTATGGCATCCTGCAAACCCTGCTGAAAAAATAATCAGAGTTCTTTTCCCAGGGAACAGTACACAGTATAGCATATTAGATGGCCTAGAGAAGCTCAAACATTTGGACTTCCTTAAACAACCAATAGTGACACAAAAAGACTTAAGTGGCAACCTGTCAAGTCCAGCAGTTAAGCAGACAAAATTGAAGCAGAGAACAGACAGTAAAGAAAGTCTCAAGCCAATCACTAAAACGCTGTCTACAAAGACTGTCAGAAAAGAATCAAGAGAGGAGGCCTCTGACACTGGGAAATCTAGCCCACCAGAAAAGGCTCAAAAAGTAGAAAAACCCATCATAAAAAAGGAAAAACCAGCAAAAAGTGAAAGTAGGCTTTCTGTGACTGAAAAGGACCTAACAGCAAAGGAGCAACAAATTGTGAAATCTGAAACTGTTGAAAAACAAGCCACTGATGTGAAACCAAAAGTAATAAAGGAGAAGCATGTGAAAAAGGAAGTGAAAGTAAAACCAGAAGAAAAACAAGAGGAGAAAGAAAAGTTAAAGAAAGAGGTGCCTAAGAAGGATGAAAAATCCCAGGCCAGGAAAGAGGAAAAGCCTAAAAAGGATGATTTGAAGAAAGAAATAAAGAAAGAATCTAAAAAAGAGCCAAAGAAAGAAGCTGCTCCAAAAGAATCCAAAAAAGAAGAGAAAAAGGAAGTAAAAAAGGAAGAAAAGAGAGAAATCAAGAAGGTTCCTAAGGAAATAAAGAAAACCTCTGCTGCTTTGCCTGAATCAAAGAAGATTACGGCAAAGTCAAAACCACAGAAAAAGGAAGAACCCGTCAAAAAAGAAAGCGGACTTGCTGGGAAACCCAAAGAAAAAGTTAAAAGCAAGCCAGTGAAGAAAGAGCTCAAAGTGGCTGAAAAATCAGCTGTAGCAGTGGCTGTTTTGGGAGCTGGGGCTGCAACAGTAGCAGCTGTAAGCCTAGCAGCCAGTGGGAAAGAACTTGAAGTCGAGAGGTCACTTATGTCCTCACCAGAAGACTTAACAAAAGATTTTGAAGAATTAAAAGCGGAAGAAGTTGAAGTAGTGAAAGAAACAAAGGAAGATAAAGTTAAAAATGAAAGCCAGCTATCTGACATAGAACAAAAGGAAGATTATACAGTTCAAAAAGAAAAAATAGAAGGCCCAACTCATTCTCCTGATGAAAATATCACCGCTGTAGAACCTGAGGGAGAATATGAACAAACTCCTGAAGAGCTGGAGTCTGTGGGAAAGGACAAGGTTGATGACAGTGAAAAATTTGAAGAGGAAGGAGCAGGATTTGAAGAATCTTCTGAGGCAGGTGACTATGAAGAAAAGGCTGAGACCGAGGAGGCAGAAGTACAAGGGGACAATGAAGAAGTGCCAACAGGTTTCAAAAAGCAAGGCATAAAGGATGTCATTGAAACAGAGGAGATTGAAAAAGAAATGATAGAATCCCCTGAAAATGAAAAAATGAAAGGGTTAATGTATGATAAAAAAGCAGAATTTAGAATGGAGTATGAGGATCAGTATGAGGCAAATTTAGAGGAAACAGCAATTGAAAAGGCAGAAATGGAAGACACTGAAGAAGAAATTGAAGAAGACAAAACTGAGGAGGTCAAAGATGAAGAGGAAACTGAAAAAATACAAGCTGAAGAAGATTATGTCATGGCTGTAGTAGACAAAGCAGCTGAAGCTGCTGAAATAGATGATAAATATGGTTTGCCTATAACTACTCCAACTAAATTGTCAGAATCTTCATCTCCAGCAAAGGAACCGGCCTCTTCAATCCATGATGAAACTCTACCTGGTGGGTCAGAAAGTGAAGCAACTGTTTCAGATGAAGAAAACAGAGAAGACCAGCCGGAGGAATTCACTGCTACTTCAGGTTATACCCAGTCCATTATTGAAATATCGAGTGAACCAACTCCAATGGATGGAATGTCAACTCCACGAGATGTAATGAGTGATGAAACTAATAATGAAGAAAGTGAATCTCCTTCCCAAGAATATGTTAACATCACTAAGTATGAGTCAGCACTGTATTCTCAAGATTTTGCTAGACCTAAAGTTGCTCCTCTTCCTGATGCTTTTAATGGATTATCCGAAGGATCAAAAACAGATGCAACTGAAGGCAAAGACTATAACGTTTCAGCTTCTACCATTTCACCACCTTCCTCGTTAGAGGAAGATAAATTTAACAAAACTTCCTTCCAGGATCTGTATCATCTTCGGGAAAATGAATTCAAAACTATTAATAAATTAGAAATTTCAGAAACTTGGGGTGAGAAGATTGGCCCAACTACAGATGAAAGTCCAGCCCCACTATCACCAGTTGCTAAAACACCTCTTAGTGAACGTAGTGTGAACTTTTCCCTAACTCCTAATGAGATCAAAACATCAACTGAGCCCGTATCTCTCTCAACACTGCCAGAAAAACATCATGAAACCCAGGAAGAGCAGTGTCCCAGCCCTGATGATAAAACATTAGAAGTGGTATCCCCTTCACAATCAGCTGCTGGAAGTGCTGGTCACACTCCTTATTATCAGTCTCCCACTGATGAAAAGTCAAATCAACTTCCAACTGAGATTCCTGGAAAGACAATTGAAGTACCAATCAGTGTTGAAGTTAGTTATGCCAAAGACAATGTTGCAAAACACAGAATAAGCCCAATGGATGAACCAGTGCCTGATTCTGAGTCGCCTTTTGAGAAAGTGCTTTCACCTTTACGAAGTCCACCACTTATTGGTACAGAATCTTCTTATGACACATTTTTAAGTGCTGATATAAAATCTCTCAAAGAAACTGAAATTGCCTTTGAAAAGAATAGTGAAACAGATGATTCCATGTTGCAGAAGAGCTCTGTTTCTGAAGTTACTTCGACAAATATTTTCCAGCAGGATGAAAACAATTTGGAGCTAACAACTCCAAAATCAGACAGTCTTCTAGAAAAGAAAAGGGATGATTTAGAAACTTCAGAAATTCAATCTGCATTAGTTTTGGATGAGAGGAAGCTGGCAGAGGTTTCTCCTACTCAAGTGGATATAAGTCATTTAGGCTATTTCAAAGAGGACACTAAAATGTCAATATCTGAAAGTACCGTCTCTGATAAATCTGCAACTCCTGTAGATGAAGTTGTAGCAGAAGATACTTATTCACATATTGAAGGAGTTGCATCTGTTTCCACAGCATCTGTTGCTACTAGTTCATTCCCAGAACCGACCACTGATGATGTATCTCCTTCGTTACATGCTGAGGTTGGATCTCCTCACTCTACCGAAGTTGATGATTCTCTTTCTGTGTCTGTTGTACAAACACCAACTACATTTCAAGAAACAGAAATGTCTCCATCTAAAGAAGAATGTCCAAGACCAATGTCTATTTCTCCACCAGACTTTTCTCCTAAAACAGCAAAGTCAAGAACACCAATACTAGATCATAGATCTCCCGAACAATTGACTATGTCAGTAGAATTTGGACAAGATTCACCTGAACAGTCTTTGGCCATGGATTTTAGCAGACAGTCACCTGAGCAACCCATAGTAGGTGCTGGTGTGCACCATATATCTGAAAATGGTCCCACTGAAGTTGATTTTAGCCCTTTAGACATGCAGGAACATGAATTTCCAAATAAAATATCACCAGTGGAACAAGTATGTTTTAGTCATGAGAAGGATATTTCAGAAATTATTTCAGTTTCTCAGATAGAGGCTTCACCTTCACCTTCTACTTCCTCTGTCCATACACCTTCACAGGCAAGTTCTCCCCTGCAAGAAGAAATCTTATCAGC